AAGAGGAAATCCACCCTGCTTCCCATTCGAGGAGTTCCGAAATGCCCTAGCAAACAAACCCAGTGTGGAATACAATTCCTTGCAAGATCTGGAACACATTGCCGAGAAAATAGAAACTCCTGCCATACTTGGACATATTTCTCCAGAAACGGCCAAGGAGTGGAAGAACTGGTTTCTCGCTTGTTTGTATCCAGTAGCCTATCGTGGGAAGATTTTGTTCTGCATTTCTACTGGCCATGTTGTCTTGTAGGCCTTGCAATTTCTAGCGTGCAGAGTCTATCGTTCTTTTTTTGTGGGGTTCTTTTAGTTTGCCGATGGAGCAGAGAATTGGAGTTTCGCTGTTTCGAAGAGCATCGTGTCCTCCGAGCTGTTCGATTTCTTTTTCTAGATAGAATCCACACACGGGTACATGTACGTCTGTTGTCTCCACTCCATCTGCAGTCAGAACCAGCCACAGTATGATTCTCTGGTTTCCGCGATAGGTTGTAGAAACAAATTTCCAACAAATGTATTCGCCACGAAGCGTATCGAATATACATGTTGTTTCGTTGGCTTTGGTTGGATTCGTTTCTTCTATTGCCTTTTGGTGTAGTCTTTCGAGATCTTGCACTGCAGATTCCGTAGCAAGTGCTCGGCGAACAGATTCTTCCATAGCATCTGGCAACGATATGACAGACACTGGATTCCAATAGATCGGAGCACCATTTTCTGTTTCGAAACTCCTGCTAGGCTCTACGCAGAAAGAAATTGTTCCATTGGGAGTCCAATACGTAGTTCGTCCCCACCTATCGCATTTCTCGTCCGCAAACTTGTTGAATGCGGAGAGAATTCGTTCTAGACCTTTGTTTGCCCAAACTGCTATTGGTTCACTTTCGTTTTGCACAACTACTCTATAGGAAGTTTTGCTGGAGTCCCATTTGGATTTCTGTATACGCCATCCGAGAATGGAATTTTTTTTTTTCCCCCGAAAGGCAAGACAGGCGGATTGTGCTGGGAAGGGAGAGACCATTTTCGGCCATTTCCTGTGCTTTTTTCGAAATCTCTGCATAGCGTTTTTTGGCAGCCACGATCTCTTCAAGGCGATGGACTTCCTCTGTTCGTTTTTCTTCATTCTGTTTGTATTCCTCTTGCATCGACTCTAGACGATTCCATGCATCTCTACGCCATTCTTCTGCATTGGCAGCATGCAAAATCTCTTCCAATCGTTTTTCGCGATCTCTCGTCGACCCGCACAGTATAGTGCAACCTACTACGATTTACGGTACCTCCTCTATCTCGTATTTCGAAGTTTCTATGCCGATGGCGTTTTTGGTCTTTTTGTCGCGCCATTCCAAAGCAACACGTTTGTTTGGGGGTAGCATCGTATCTGGATTTGGACCTTGGGGATGTAGCTGTGTTGGCCTACGGCTTCGAGATAGTATAGTTCTCGTATGGGGAGCTTTTGTGTAGCATCGTAGTGGGCCTATTTCCACTCCTGTAGCTGTGGCAGCCAAAATGTCTACTCGGAATAGAGGACACGCTCGGAATCCGAAATGGGCTGTAGCCCATTCTACAGCGTGGTCCCATCTAGCATCGTCTTCCACGTTGGCTTTGGTTGGTTGTACTTGGATTTCGGATACTCTTCCCGTGCCCGTGTGTGCATACCAGCCCACGAAGATGGTCCCCTGGGGTCTGTCTGCAAGCACCATGCAACGGCCTAGACATTTCAATACATTCTCCCACTGTTTTGCTGGTGGTTGTACTACGAATAGGTTTTCCCCCAAGAACAACTCTAGTGCTTCGTCCACCAAATCGTTGGCCATTGCGGTGTTGGTTCTATGCTCGTACAAAGAGACCTCTATGCGAGTACAACCTCTAGCCTGGACATCTGGATGGAGAAAGGTTTTCTGCAGGTGTTCGTTGGAACAATCCGCATAGTCGGCCAAATGGCTACCGATGTGTTCTCGTACTTCTCCCGCTTCGAAATTGGAAACTACTTTGTTGTAGATTTTTGTTCGCATGGTATAGCCATTCCAGGTTCCAACCCAAGTACAGACGTGGTTGCCTACACTTCTTGTATTGTCCAGGATGGTGGGTCCCTCGCAGTCCATGGCAGTTGCAAGATCCCTTTGTTTTCGAAAGCCATGTATCCTTTGCAGGTATTCCACGAGACACTTTCTATCTAGGGTGCCGGAGAAATCCCTTGTATAGTCGATAGAATACAGTCCATAGCCACGTGCCAATAGAAATCGTTCGAATTTGGAAATATTGGCTTGTATTTGTTCCATAGGTATTTCCGAGACATCTACTTTTGCCACGAATATTCCGAATATCGGGTCGTAAACGTGTAGAGATTCCCATTGTGTCTTTGCCACAGAATTGGTTTCTTTCTCTATTCTTCGTACAGTGCTCCGTATTGCAGAGGGGGCATCTATGGTATATTGTAGCGTATGTACGATTTTGGTTTGCACGTAGCCTTCCTCTTGCTTGAAAGATTCGCGTACTGCACTCGCTATATTGGAAACTACAACGGATGCTGATCCTTTTTCTCCGATGGTGCAATACACAGCTCCTTTTCTATAGACACAGTCTTTTCGCCGAAGATAGCCAAATACGTATATATCGTCCACAAATGTAGGTAGGCCTTCCAGTGGTTGGAGGTTTGTTTTGCCGAGATGGCCATCGAGATAGTCTACACAGGCAATGTCCGGGGGAAGATTGCTTCCCACGGTATTTTCCAGTAGGAGGTGGTATGCCACTACTTTTTCGACTCGCAAGCCCATATTTTCGAAAGTTGCTTCGGTTGCCATATTTCTGGAAATGCAATAGGTTGCTGTATACATGCTTGGGCACCAAATGTCTAAATGGAAAATCTCGAAATGTTGGGCTTTTTTGGTTCCATTGCATTGGGGTTGCCGAAACTCATGGTACCCTACAGATTTTAAGGCTCCTATAACATTAAACTGTTTCCTCGAGGTCAACACAACATGTCACATGATCAGGAAAGTGCTAGTTCACTATCTCACAATAGACCCGTTAAACCGAGATTATTCAGCTCAGTCCCCGGTAGCCCAATCGGTTGAGTGGTACGGCCCATTATGTATAGTTTGGCGCCGAGCTATACATGTGGGTTCGTGATCCCGCCGCTGACTCAGTGGATTCCTTGCAACTTTGTGTGATGTGAAGTGTTTCGGTAAGGTATCCCGGAGTGGGGCACTCTCATGGCAAGAGAAAGGCAGCCGACGCAATTCCCTTTGGGAGAAGCGCAACATCATCTTTCTATTTCTCCCTTGGGGAATTGTGGCTGCCGGGGACATTTTACTACTTTTATCTTTCTATAGTGCCACGTGTGGGCGGGAAATTAAATGGGGGCTCAAAAGTAGTAGATACAATGGTGGCGAGATCTAAGGGCCTGACAAAAGCTTTATTTGTGAAATAAGGCTTTGCAGAGGCTTTTGTTGGACTTGATCCAGGACTATCATTATATATACTACTAATGTATCAATGTATTTACATCATGCAATGAATTTGAGAACTTCTATATTATTCCCACAGATATGAATTATTGTATTATTATCAATATGTTACTTCAAATATGAATATGCATATTTTACGCATGCGCATTAGGTTAATATATTGTACATGCATTCTATGTTGTAATGGGCCGTTGGCCTGAATATCAACTGAAATCAATAAAGTGACTGGACATAGCCCTGCCAATTCTGAAGCGAAACATGGATCTGTCTTCTGGTCAGATTCAGGCACCTAATCTCATTCTCAGTGATGTCACAACTGAAACATCGGACGAGAAGCTGATAGGTTGACTTGTGCTTCAATGAGGGCAGGGCGAGTCTCAGTGATAGGCTGATAGGTTGACTTGTGCTTCAATGAGGGCAGGACGAGAATCAGTGACAGGCTGATAGGTTGACTTGTGCTTCAATGAGGGCAGAACGAGTCTCAATGACAGGCTGATAGGTTGACTTGCGCTTCAATGAGGACAGGACGAGAATCAGTGACAGGCTGATAGGTTGACTTGTGCTTCAATGAGGACAGGACGAGTCTCATTGACAGGCTGATAAGTTGACTTGTGCTTCAATGAGGGCAGAACGAGACTCAGTGACAGGCTGATAGGTTGACTTGTGCTTCAGTGAAGGCAGGACGAGTCTCAGTGACAAGCTGATAGGTTGACTTGTGCTTCAATGAGGACAGGACGAGTCTCAGTGACAGGCTGATAGGTTGACTTGTGCTTCAATGAGGGCAGGACGAGAATCAGTGACAGGCTGATAGGTTGACTTGTGCTTCAATGAGGGCAGGACGAGAATCAGTGACAGGCTGATAGGTTGACTTGTGCTTCAGTGAGGGCGGGACGAGTCTCAGTGACAGGCTGATAGGTTGACATGTGAATAAATGGGGGACACAGAGAAGCACACATCAATATTTGCGTGTGCTGCGAGCTGAAAATATCAAATACCATGAAATAAAACAGAATATGCACTTGTAAGTACGGGTCGAATAAAAGTAGCGTGGTTTCATAGATGATTTAACGGAAATATTTGTGCTTTGATGTGTAATTTTTCACGCACAACAGGTTCGCTGTTGAGTTGTATTGTGCAGTGTGGAAACTGAAACCGGTGAATCACACCGAAAGTACATCAATGATGACGCTGGCTACACCATGACACGGGAGGCCCCGGTGGAACTCAGTTGACTGGGTTCTGGTTCTAAACTTGTACATACAGTAGTTCTTGTCGTATACGTCTACTTGTGTTGACACTCACTGCTCATACAACACGAAAGGAAGGTCATGCGTCTGTCGTGTGTAAAGGTAGGCATGCGTACGTCGTGATTCGTTTGGTTATAAAACGTTTTAAAACATTAGCAACTAGGACTGCTCGGTATCACTGGTATGCAGTTGCCAATACACAGCCCTATTACCAACAGCCAATCAAGTATACAGCATTACGTGTGGTCTGTAATTTGATGAATGTTTCAGTGTAAATACATTTTTCTGTTTCAGATAACAAATGGCTCCCCTTATGTTCCTGGCCGTTGCGTGGATGTTTACTGGAACACGAGGTAAGTGAGAACCTGCTGCCTTTAGTGAATTGTGCAGTAAGCAATACAATACCTTCAACCGTGGGTTCGACAAGCTACTGTCCGGGTTATCTGGAACTGAGGACAATGGGTTAACAGTTCAATTGTATATGTGTACAAATTGTACAAATTCTACAAGTGAAGAGACCCAATTTATAATCATAACAAACAACTACATATATAAAATAGTGATGTAACCTGCTGTTGATCGTATCCTGGAGTACCGGGGTCACGAATGCATGCAAAGACAAGTCAAATACTTACCTAACCAAGGCATGGATATATAGGACAATGCATTACGTCCTTGGTCGGATTCAGGACTATGGCTAAGCTTTCAGACAGGGACGATATATTTGCTTGACATATCTATATCGAGGTGGGTTTATACAGGAGGATCACGTCTTCAGGTTTCAATGTGGAACCGATTCCCAATCATTTGGCAAAACACTCATGGGGCGATAACTGTACATAATAGCTGATATACCAGATCGGGTCAGTTGGGACAGGTGCACGTGTCATGTAGGGCAAGCAGTCTTTGGGTACCTGGGGAGTATTTGGAGGAGGCAAGTATCTGTAATATGTATCCAAACGAAATAGGTACTACTAAATGAACATATATTCTTCCAGCTATCGCCTGCTCTGACTATCAGCACTGTTTAGACTGTGACGAGAAGACTGGAGAATGTCTCAAGTGTAACGATGGCTACTGGGACAAACGGTGCAGTTTGAAGTGCAGCAGTGGTTGTCGAAATAATACATGTGAGATGACAACAGACGGGATCGAGGGGTGTACTGCTGGCTGTGTGGCAGGCTTCCAAGGCACAAGCTGCAGCGTACGGTGTGATCCTCCTGCTGGTAATTGTACACAATGTCCTGGTGGATGTGAAGAAGGATTCTGCCAGATGGACTCCTCCTGTGTGTCAGGATGTGTGGACTCCTACTACGGTTCTGACTGTCGACCGTGCTCCAGCAGGTGTCGGTCCTGCAACAGGATTACAGGAGCATGTGAGGAGTGTCACCATCCGTACGTTGGTGGAGGCTGTCAGTATTCCTGTACAAACTGTTCAGGTAGCTGTGCGAGTGAATGTGTCAAGGAGTGATCGTCTCGATATCCCCAAATGTTCTGTGTGTCAGTTGTCAACACATGTCCTCTGAATTGCACGGATGTAGAGATGGTCAGATATTGTACATCACCTTTCCGTAAGCATAGCAGCGGATGTACACGTGGCTGTGTGGATGGATGGTACGGATCCTGGTGTTCATCTCGATGTGAGGCTGGCTGTATCAACCAAAGGTGCGGCCTGACAGGTGCTTGCGTGCACGGATGTCAGGATGGATATTTCGGGACAAACTGTAAAGCATGTTCTGAGACGTGCTTCAATCACACCTGTGACTCAAACACCGGATCCTGTACACACGGATGTAGTCCTGGCTGGTATGGGGGTGTGTGTGACCAGACTTGTGCTGTGTGTCGGCACGGGTTGTGTGACCAGAAGACTGGCACGTGTATCAACGGATGCACCATCAGAGGGTGTGATTCTTCCTGCACAAGCAACTGCGGAATGCCGTGCAGCTGAATCCTGTAAATCAGGTGAATTTCACAAGTGTTAAAGGGATATTTCTTATGTTTTCACTTATTGTGTACATCACATGCCGTTATGGTGCAGATCATTTGACGTTATGGTGTAGATCATTTGACGTTATGGTGTAGATCATTTGACGTTATGGAGTACATCACATGCTGTTATGGTGTAGATCATTTGACGTTATGGTGTAGATCATTTGACGTTAAAGTGTAGATCACATGACGTTATGGTGTAGATCATTTGACGTTATTGTGTAGATCATTTGACGTTATGGTGTAGATCACATGACGTTATGGTGTAGATCATTTGACGTTATTGTGTAGATCACATGACGTTATGGTGTAGATCATATGGCGCTAAGGTGTAGATCACATGACGTTAAGGTGTAGATTGTGACCACACCTGCTGCAGTACATTGTTAGCTTTATTGTTGCCCGTATGACGTCACGGTGAGATGGACTACACAAACACAATGCTGTTACCGAATTGCCCTTTCCGGTTTCGTATGTCACCGTTACGATATGTTGCAAGACAAACATACTTCGATAAACAAACACATTACTTATGGCTGATTTGATCATTTGGAATCTTAGCGTAAAATAATTATTTCAATATACCTTAAATGTCACTTGAGGCAGACAAACAGACAGACAGACACAGGTCCATATAAGAAGTCGTTTGCTATATTTTTGCTTTCATGTTTTTCAAAGTTCCGAGGACAAACAGCATCATCGTCGGAATCCTCGCAATCATCATCGGAATCCTTGCAGCAGCCATGTTTTGTACAGCACTGACACGGTCTGTGAGGCATCGCAGACGCAGTGCCGGACAGAGGTCAGTACTTGTAGAATTCTGTGTGATAGTTACGGGCTGGGGTATCAGGCTAACTGCCCCCCGGACAACTGTCCCCCGTCCATTGTGCCCCCCGGACAACTGCCCCCCGTCTGTTGTGCCCCCCAGACAACTGCCCCCTGGCTTTCTGCCCCCGTCCATTGTGCCCCCCGGACAACTGCCCCCTAGGCTAATTGCCCCCTAGGACAAGTGTCCCCAATCATAACAAAAACACACAAACTAAAAGTAATAGTTTTAAATTTTTAATTTATAGCACTATGTAATACAACTGGCAGAATTCTAAACCTCCTCGAAACCACATCTACATGGTTAAGTGATGGTACATTCCAGGTAGTTCCAGAGCTTTTTATCAACTTATAAATTATAAAATTTAAAACTACATATACTGAGTCAAAAAAGAAACTTCCCAAAATGTAATTTGAAAAATAATGAATAATTTTTTTCTGATGATTATGGTGACTGATTACGGCCATTGCTTTCTCGCCTTAAAATTCGGAGGCGAGAAAGCGATATCACGAGACGAGAAAGCGATATCAAGAGACGAGAAAGCGATAACGCGAGGCGAGAAAGCGATAACTCCAGACGAGAAAGCGATAGCACGAGGCGAGAAAGCGATACCATTACGCGAGAAAGTGAGAAAGCGAGAAAGCAATAGAACGAGAAAGCGATATACCAAGGCTAGAAAGCGATAGAGTGAGAAAGCGATAGAGCGAAAAAGCGATATACCAAGGCGATAAAGTGATAGAGCGATAAAGCGAGAAAGCGAGAATGCGATAGAGCGAGAAAGCGATAGAGCGAGAAAGCGATAGAGCGAGAAAGCGATAGAGCGAGAAAGCGATAGAGCGAGAAAGCATTATTTCACATAATTCTGCCCTGTCTGCACATGACGTCTTACCTGCCTATGATTTAATCGAACAGGAGGCTTTATTTTCATTTGGTTTAATCGTATAGAAACAACATGAACATGCTTTCAAATTCTGTGGCATTTTTGTAATTAATCCTTTGACTTGTCCAAACAATAATCCAACAATAACTCCAGAAACCGAGTGTGTTTTCGTTGAAATATATGAGTGCTCTTAAAAAGTCTGGATAAAGGATAACAATCATTTAATTTATTGTTACATCACTAATTAGGCTTGGATTAATTCCTGGCTTGCATTTCTTTATTGTCATTTCCCTTGTTAAATGCCACCATTGTTATCTCATTATTCATGCCGGGATTAACAATCCCTGGCTTCCATTTGTCCATCCACCCTACCAATTTAGCGCTAATTAAGTACTGGCTTCCCTTGTTTTCTTAACACTCTTGTTTCAAATGTACGTCTTTAGCTTTCTCTTCCTAGTTTCTAGTCTCTTCATTTACCTGATGAAGGATAAGAATATACTCCGTAACATAGTGTTTCAGTCCGGTGTTAAACAACAAACCAACCAAACGAACTCCCCGTCGGGCTTTATTGTATCAGTGATGGAATTTCATACACCCTGTGCCTTTCATCTAGTCTTTTTATGTGTGCCTATTTCACACATATATATTTCCACTACTATGTGAAAAAGGAATTGTTCTAAATGTATGTGCCATCGTCTCCCATACTTATATGTCTGTCTGTCCCCATGTCCCAACTATCTACTTGAGACAGTGCCACAAGTCATCGACCGACGTGATAGGTGTGTTTAACAAAAACGTTATATAATTATTACTTGGGGAATAAAGCACTATATCATAAAACACCTGTATATTGAAAATAATTTAGTTTAGTTGGGGAGTGTGAGAAGTTGGACGTCAGAGGGTTGGGAACTTGATTGCGTATAAGTTCAACTAAGTAAGTAGTGTAAAGTATATTGTGACTTATTGTGCAGAACAGTTCAACTGTTGCTGATAAGCTAATAAGGAGTCTACTAAATAGATGAAAAGGGGTTAAATGTTAAAAAGTAGGGCTGGGGAGTCAGGGTACGGTGCTTATGTTTTGGTTGTGAAACGTGCGGTGTGTGGCCTTGACATTGTGAGTTAGTCTGGATAATCGAGTTTACACTGTAATGTGTGGCTGGATAGGGATGTTTTAAAGGGTTTATTCTGAATTTAAGGGTGCCTATTTTTGTTTGGTGTTTTGATATTTTGTTTTCAGACCCAGTCTGGTAGTTATTGAGTAATTTGGTTTCTTCTAGTAACTGCTATCTAGTAGGTACTAGTCTTTGCACCTATGGCATTTTTTATATATTGTAAGGAGTTTAGTTGGGGATAGAGAAGGACGGGAACCACTCACTCCAGTGTGTACATGATAAATGTTTTGTAGATGTGTAGGGGGGTTTATTTGGCTGCAGTGACCTCAATGCTCACAAATATGAAAGATACATTTTAGAAAGTCCAGTATGCTCATGTGGACTAGCAAAATGAGGATAGTTTTCACTTTTTCTTTACTTGTCCAATATATACTGTAACTCGAAATAACATGTACTTTTACCAAAAAGGATATACATTAGACTCAGTACTATTCGGAAATGCCCATGCAACTGCACCTGTAAATATGCAGATTCTTGAATCTGTTCATTTATATATCGTAAAATCAGGCAGATTTGACGCCCTTTTCTTATTTGTCTGCATCCCAGTGAATGTCACCTATTGCTCTCATTCGATTTGAATCGTTTTGACATGAGTTGACCGAGTTATAAACAAGATGATACAGGTAGATAGTTCCATATATTGAACGAGTTTCAAGTCCTCCTCTGGAAACGAAAATGTTACGAAAGGTTAATTGGATACATGCGTAACCAATCACTTTTTCAAAACCTATGCGACCACGTCCAGCTGTAGCCTTTACTTTACTTTTATTCTCAATAGACCACCAATGGTGGTATAAGAGTACATATCACACACATCAGTATCAGTTTATTGCATGAAGGCCAGAGGCCCATATACAGAATAAATATGTATGATATGTACAACATATACAACATGCGACACACACGTTACATTGAATCTCTTCTCAATATAAGCGCGTGATAAATAAATAGAGCTACCTTATATTGTAATAGGGATGCTTTACATGAAAGTATTGAATACAGTTTTGTAGCATTAATATTTGATTGTAGCCATTGTGGAAAATACAGTTGCCTTAAATCATTATATGCAGGACAAAGAAATAGAAAGTGTAATTCATTCTCTACAGTATTACAAAATGGACAGAACCTTTGTGATTTTATAATAGATGAATATCTTCCTTGATTGATATATAAATCATTTAGGCCAAGTCTCAGGCGCATGAAAACACTACGAAGCTTTTCATTACGTAAGTTGTATAGATACGACTCAGGTTTAAGTAAAGATTTAAACTCACGATAGCAATCATATCTTGAACTTTCATATAAAGATGAATGCCAGTCTTGTTTAAAGATATCAATAGCCCTGGTACGAAAGAGTTTGATAAATGCATTAACTTCACCCAGGGTTTGGGATAGCCAAACAAATCCAAAGCCGTATCTAAACAAAAGAATACGAATACGGGTTGCCCAAGTATTTTTACCAATATTATCAAGATGGACAATCATATTGTAGGTTTTTTTGGGCAGACGATGTTCTGGCATATTTATTACTTTACACCAGTACTTTAAACAGCGAGAGTAAGAAATTATGTACAAAGGAAATCTCCCACATTCACCGTACACCA